GATACAACTGTAAACTCCTCTCAAACTTCTTGCAGTGTTGCCACAATTAGTGTCATTCTCCTATACATGGCATGCAGATCACACAAACACCTAATCTAAACACAGACCTTCTGTACTTTGTACACAGACTGCACTTTCATTCTTTTGATCCATCCTGTTTGGATGTTTTTTTCCCCTAATGATAATTTCAACAATTTGGTCTCTGTTTTCATCCTTAATTGCAATTTCTCATCTGCACAGTGAGTTATATTCAGAACTCACTTCTCCATTGCCTTTATTCTCCTTTATTGTCACTTAAAATGAATTGATAAGCCAAGAACACTCTTGCAAGAATATTAAAGGGACCATCTCTACCATTTTTATCATTGCATCTTTAAAACAGCATAACAAAACTGGAAAGAAAATTCAACAATGCCATTTCTCAAAGGACATAGATCAAGACCAACCTGTAAAAGACACCAAATCATGACAGAAAAAAAAAAAAAAAAAAAACACACACACACCACTGCATTACTTGCTTACTACATCACTTCAAGAATGAGGATATTTTAATTAATTGGTCCAGAAGGACCTCACAAACTCCTCAGTAGAAGAAAAGCTAGCCTTTACCTCTCCTCATAAAGGATCACTAGATGGACAGATCTAACAGCATTAAATAAAAATCCAGGGAAAGCAACATATAGTAACTGAAATGTAACATGGACAGTAATTTGACCTGTCTGGAGCACGTAGATATCTACTAACTTTCCCTTCTAGTGATGTCACAAGAGAGAAAGCTTAATGAGCAAAGGACTGGAGTGGAATATGTAGTACTTGGGTTCTCTGAGCTTTGCAGGTGACCTGCTGTTGCACCTGAAGTCATGTCATTTCTCTATTTCCACTCCCATCCCCTGTTTGCTTCCATTATTAGCTGTATTGCAAAGTAAGAACTACCTTTTACTATGAGTTTTTCCAGGGCCCCCTGCATCAGTTTCTGTGGCACAGTTAGGAGTTTTGAGGCAAGCTGGCAAATCAAATAACAAGAAGTAGAGTTGTTTTTCACAGCACCATTTCCACTGAACTATATCCCTGGATTATCTAAAATATACTGAGTTTGGAAAACTAGAGAGACTTTTTTGCATTTATCTCCTTCCCTAACACCCAAAGTGGTTTTATCAAGCAGCTTATGGGATCAGTTTCTACACATAAATTCTCAAACTCTGAGCAGTAAAATCTGGTTTAAGGAAAGTTTAATTTGTTGTTTCTCTCTTGCAAAAATATAAACCTCATGTTTTGACCACTCAAAATAAAGAACCTAACCACAAATATTTAGAGTACCCAGTCAAACAACTAAATATACAAAAGCCACACACACAGCACAGTATATGCAATACTATCAGGTTATTTATTTTAATACTGCTTAAAGTCTCAACTACAGCTTTACTTACAAAGAAGCCTCTGACAATTCTCACTGAGAAGTCAAAAACCACAAAAACAGTTGTCATTTTTTGTAAACAAAAAGGTTCCATTTTCAATATTACTGTGTCCATGTGTTAAGGTAATATCGATGGTTATACATTAACTTATCATAAATTAATCAATTAATTATCATCATAGCTGATATCTTTGATTGTCTTATAGGTAGATGCTTAACATTTTTCAACATCAAGGGGGGAAAAAAAAAAGGGAAAACACAAGAATATACTAAAAACAAAGCTTTCAAACCCTTGAACAAAAATGAGACATTGCTGCAACTGCCACTGAAAAGAGGGGTCATAAACTTTGATTGCAAAGGGCTGTGAGAATGTGTGTATTTGTGATGGCGTTCCCTGGAAAAAGGAACCATATGGAGGATCAAAACCAATCAGTATTGTACAGGATGAATGTACACACTGGAATTATGGACCACAGTACAATCAGGACAAACACAGCAGGTACATGTTGCCACAAGTCCATCAGTTATTTTCATTCCCCAACACAATTGGTCTCTACATCCACCATCAAGATTTGAGTTGGGTGCCAGTAAAACTGAGGAAGGAATTAAATCCAAGAAAAACCAGAAGTGACAGTATAACACAGAATGGTTTTTAATTTCTTAACTGAAATGTCAGAGTATCCTCCTCAGAAAACTGTACTTAAAGCAAGCTGTGCAGGCTTAAAGGATATGATGAAAACATAGCTCCATGCGAACACTGCTGCATATCCAAAATGACCGTAGCCCGCCCTTCCATCCAGTTTAGCAAGAAACGTCCAGCACCACACAATGACTTCTCACTTGTTTACTGCTGCAGTAAACGTTTGCTCCGATGTGAACGACATGCTGAACATACCACAAACAGTAAAACGATAGCTATTAAACCCAAAAATATCAAACGGACTGGAAAAGCATTTTGACAAGGAGGAAACATTAAACCAGGTCTTTGTAGCACTTGCTAAATACAGAGGCTCATCATATTTCAGGCCATTGGTATTTAATTGTCCTTTCATCTGAAGAGCGGTGGATATGAATGCACATCAGGCAGCAGATGAGTCAGATGTTCTGAAGAGGTCCAATCAAGGACACCCCACAAGACAAGAGCACTGCATGCATAATGTCTCTCACACAACTGACTTCAGCTACAGCCTGAAGTTTCTTTTCAGTGCCTCATCCTATTCCATGGTGGTTATGCACCAAAGCACTGAGAAGAAAATAATAAATAGACCTGTAGTTGCCTAATTCACAAAAGTTTAAACACATGAGACTCCAGGAACACGATGTCACCACACTCCTTTAAAGCTGCCAGGAAGACATACTCAGATTAGTAGATAATTATCTAAAACTCAGGCTTTTGTTCTTCCATTGTTTCAGTTGAAAGAAAAACACTGCTCATATTTCTTAGGGTCATCCGACAAACTCTTGAAGTCAAACTCACAATGGAATAGGTCACTCACAACACTTCAAAAGTCAGGTTTTGGAGTGGTAGACAGACACAGACATTATATCTATTTCAGCACAAAGACAGGAGAATCCCTGGTCTTTTGTGGAGAAAACAGGTAAGCTACAGGCATGGAGACAAGGAGCCACACAGGAGGTTAAATCTACTGCGCTGTCCTTGAGGTAAACCAGTGTGCCTTTTATACTGTCCTCTAATCCTTAGATTAGTTTCTCCATTTTGGTTTTAACAATATTAACTGAAGTGCAGAGGCAATCAGCAGACCACAACTTTGCCAAAAAATTCAGTTAAATCATTACAAATTATTTGTAAAAATAGACCGTGGATAAAAATCATTAGTTGTAATCCTCAGCTGTTAAACTGCCTCTCTACATTAAACATGCAAATTGGAATTGTTAATTCAAGGTAAACATGAAAAAGAACTCATCTTTTCTGTATTCCCTTTAATTCAGCTCTCAAATCAAATTTCATCTCCATATGACAACAAATGGAAAAAGGGATAGCTTGTGCATATACAAAACACAGCTCACACCCTACATAGCCTGCATACTACAATTTAATACATTTTTAAATATAAATTCTAGCTCTAGTATTATTTTGCAATCTTTAAGTGAAGCAATTTAGGCTCTTATTATCTGCTTTTTCCTTTTCTCATCAACACAGCTCCTCTTAGGGTACAAATGATGCTTGATCACGCGCTTCTTAAATCATCTTCATGCTGTTAGCTCTGCAAAGAATGATGCCTGCTCCAGAACACTGCCATTGTTAATCAGTCAAACCAGGTCTCTCATTGGTCTGTAAGGAGGAAGAGCACTAAGGACAGCAGAATGAGGATGAGATTGTTTTTCTCTTCCTTTTCAAGGAATACATCTGAATGCATCCCTTTCCTTCACCTTCATGGATCACTTGTCCTGACAAGCATAAGTTCCCCTGTGCAAAAGCTGCCTGGCTTTGTATTGTACAAGAAATGACAGAACTACGTACTTGAGGCAGTGCCCAAAGCACAGATGAAAACCAGCGTGAAACAGATTCAACATTGATGTTCTCTAAAGACATCTAATGACAAAAGCAGGGACACCCATCTCAAAATGATTCAGAAAGCTGTTTGAGTCTCAGTGGAGACAACACCGACTAAACAAATTCTTCATTAGTGCAGCACCCTAGGCTCTGAAGCTCCACTTCACATCTGTGAGTGCAGACATCCACAGAACACTGAGTTGGGAAAGGGCAGAGGCTGACTCTTCTCTCCAGTCTCACCATGGGAGACTACCAGGAGGCAGAGATGCAATACACACATTGCAGCTGAAGCTGTCGACCTGTACTTATCCTTTGCATTTTGACTACCAGCTGCCCCCCAGGGAGATGTGTACCTTTTGACTAGTTATCTGCCCAGATGGGACCTGCACATTGCCTGACAACAGGCCAATTGCCATATGCTTCCTCTCAGCCACTGAAAAGCCAAGAAAATGGTTTGTAGGCAGTACAGGTTGCCTGTGGTGTCAGAGCAAAGCAAACAACTTAAGTTTTCTTTCTGTTCATCTTTATGCTTGAGGATAAATCATTTTCTATCAAGTTAGCCATATAAAAACTTCCAGTACCACTCAATGATGTTATAAGGTAGAGAAATATTCATGATATGCTTAGACAGACTGAGCTGGAAGCTGTGACATCCCTATTTATTGGCTAGAGAAAGGCCACTGGTTAAACTGTTACAGAGGGCTTCCCACAAAGGTAGCGTTACACCAGGCAGGGCCCCACCTCATCCGTTAGGCTGTATTGCAGGGGCAACTATCTCCTGCACACACTGGTATCGGAGAGAACTTGGCACCTTCTGCTACCGGTAACTCTGGATCCAACCAAGGGAAAATCAGCTTCTGAATGCAAAAGCCTTTTAAGAAATTTGAAATAATTGAATAATATTAACTTCTGAGCTTTCAGGAAGAGCAGCGAGGGCTTGTGCTGCAGCATTCTATTAGGAAATTGGGAAAGGGTTCTATTAGGAAAATGGTCCAATTATTTTAATGCACCAAAAAAAAAAAACCAAAAAAACCCAACCCGGGAAAAATAAATGGTAATTTTCCTCTTTACCTGAGATGCTCCATTTAGGCAAGGCACTGAAATAGGGACGTTACACAACAGCTCCAAGTGCCGTTCAGATGCCGTGCATGCCTCCTGCCCATCAGGACCCACGACGTGCCTTCCAAGCTGCCCATAGTCCGCTCTGCCCCAGGTGAATACCTTGCCGGTTTCTAAACACAAAACACATTTCAAGATTACTTATTCACCAAGTTCCTGGAACATCTGGATACCAATTCAAAACTAGAACAACACTTCTTAATGCATCTTATCCAAAGTTTCAAAAATCCAGTGGAAAACATACTATTTCTGAGAGCAGAAGAAAAATATTAAAACTAGTTAAAGACATGTTATGACATACTTCTACACAGTTACTCAAACTTCATTAACTTGTTTTCTAGCAGAATAACATCTGTATGGTGGCCTGGGCTATAAATGAGACCATATCAGTGAAGAGGCATAATGTGGACATTCCACATAAAATATATACACTTTGGTTACACAAAGGACATATTTTTAGCTTAAACAGAAGCACACACAAAACAGCTTATTCTGAAACATAAAAGGTTCTTGTCTATTCCCAGTCTTTGCCAGAGACATCCATCACATGTCCTGTATTTACCATACAGTTTATGTTTTCCTGATGGAAGTTACCTTCTGTCACAACTTCTGTTAGCAGAGTAACAGCCCTCAGGACAGCAACTGGTTAGTCAGGAACACCACCAGAGCTGTCATTCAACACTGGAAATGCACCAGTTTGTTTTCACAGGAATCACACCTTGGCCAAGGAAAGACAACTAAATCAATAGTATATGGATCACCCTTCTTGCCACATCTTACACCAGGTTCACTGCTGTGGGACACCCAAAAGTCCATTCTCTGGTATGGATAACATCCATAAACCAGTGGTTTTTATATTTGGTTCCAAATATCTTAAAAGAAAAAAAAAAAACAACACACCACCAACCGTCACTAAGTGACAGCTTTATTTTCTTAATGAAATAACTAGATGTCTGCAGATAAGTCATGAAAAGCTGTCCCTTCTGGGCTTCCAATTAAAAACATTATATACACACAGCATAAATGGTATGTTCTCAACTTGCTTTTAACTAGAGGCAGCAACCTGCATTCCAGCCCAGAAAGCAGCCTGCAATAACCTTGAGTTATGGACAGAGTTCAACCAAGCCTCAAACTCCTCTCCAGAACTGAATTCCAAGTCATCAGGCCATAAGTCAAATGATGTGGATTTGAGGAAAATATCATCAAGTCAAGTAAATCAGCTTAGCGCACACAGTTCTCCCCTTATCAGTCAGTACAGATATATCCCACAGAAGGGTCGGGAGCACAGGGTACCAGTCACACCACCCAAAGATGACAACTGAGGGTTTTCTTAACACATGCCATATCACAAACCTTCAGAAACCTGAACATCTCCCTTTTCCTTTGGGTGCTGTTCAACTGTTTTGAAGGGGACACAGGTGGGCACTGCTGGTTTGTGAAGTTTAAGCTGATAAGGTAAATAAACTGGAAACCTCTAACTTCATATATTTAAATACAAGAGAAGTATATGCATATTCCTTAGAAATCTGCTAGCAGTAGTAGCTTTTACTCTGATCATTGCAAGTTTTTCAGATGCATTCTCTCAGTTCACTGATAATGCTTCCCCTGAAATAATTAAGTGATAAAATTAGTTGCCCTTTTCTCTCAAGGACACAAAGATTTTCTTCCTTTGGAGCTTCCTAGCAGTTCAAAGAAAAGTTGAAGCCAGGCATACACTACTTTCAATACAAGTAAGGTCTTTCAACATAGTAGCTTCATTTTGTTAGGTTAAAGCATTAAAACGAGTTTCATTAACAGAACTACCAGTGTATCTTACAGAGATTAGGAAAACAGTTTGCAGTTTAAAAAGTATGCTTGTTCTGGATGTAGTATATTTACTTTGCAATTTGTATAAATCTCTGCTAAAAACATCTGCAGCTGATGTTGCAAGAAGACTGATGTTATGTTATATAGCAAATTTAAATGTAGACTAAGCTTCAGGCTTTTACATCAGACCAGATTACTGCACCTATCCAGAATCCCATTGGTGGACTGGAAAAGAACCGGCAGACGGCTTTATTTTATATCGGCTACAGGAACCAAAGGTGAGTTTTATGAAATTTAAAGCCAGAAAGAAGTTCTGTAACAGCTAGTCAGATCATTAATATACCACAGGCTCTCAAGCCCTACCCAAACATTGCTGTATTGACCCCAAGGACCACAGTTTAACTAAAGCATTTCAACTCTCAGAAGCCAAAGGCATCAAGTGCCACAGGCAAAAACATCAGCAACCCACAAGGCCTCTAGAAAAGCAAGTAGTGCTGTTGGTGTCTGGATTCAGATGAAGGCAATCCAAAATCCTAACACAAACCTGACCAGTTACTCATTAAGAAAATAACTTTCCCACCCTGCCAGTGACCAGCAGAAACCAGGGAGTAGCTGACACAATCACCATCTTGCTCTAGCAGCTCATTGTCAAGTTCTGCACAAAGGAAGCAATTCTGTTCCCCTCTGCCAAGGGTCTGTGAAAGGTAAAGTGCAGTGATCTGCAGCTTCCCCAACCATGAGATCAGAGCAAAACAGCATGACTACCTACTCTGAAGTCAAACTAAACTGCATACATAATTTCCCCTTATGAATTAAGGGCTAGCAAGTCCATCATCTGCAACAGTTGCCATCAACTACATATTGTGCCTTTATTAATGACTGGAAAAAGTCCCCCTCTCTGCTATCTAGTACCTTTTCCATGTGCCAGGGTCTGTACAAGTTTGGACTTTTTTTTTCTTCTACACTGTGGGCATTGGTCTCCTTAAGGTTCACTCTGCAATTCTGCTACTGGATCAATTTTTGAGGCCATACACTGAAATTTCAACAGTAACACCAAGTTGCAATGGCAGTAATAGAACTGAAAACAGTATGATACCAGTGGTTTTAATTCAGCCTTACCAAGGCTTTGGAGTATGCTCATCTCTCTATTACTGAAGGATATTTCCATAAATTCAGTGGTACTGAAGAATGCAATCATATATGAAGGATTAAAACCAGACAGCAATAATGCTTAGCTACAACAAAACACCTTCCACCCACAGATTCTATTTTCTTTCACTGGACAAGCAAGCACTGAATTAATTACACATGCAAAACCAAAGAGAATCTCTAGGAGATCACAAACTCTTTCTGTTTACAAACAGAAATATTTGTTATTAATATCACCCTTTTAGCCACTATAAGGGAAACAAGTTTCAGGTGGTTATTGGTAGGCAAACATGGAGAACACCCATTAAAAAAACTAAAAGCCAGATAAATTAATTTTTGCTTTTAGGAAGAACTTCTTGACTGCCCAGATATTAAGTAAGCAACCAGTTCCTTCTCAGTGCGCATCAATTCAGTTCTCATTTCTAATCAACAGAAATTCATTCCCCAAGACTTGTTCTTGTTTGGTGAGCAATCCCCCTCCCATGCTCGGTCTCCTGCTAATGGTCAATCGTTCCTATTTGTCAGCCAAACACATCTGTCTAGCAATCCTTTAAAAAAAAAAAAAAATTACTTTCCTATGAGAGAACGTAACAGAAGCTGATTTAGAAGCGTCTTCTCTATGAAATACTGATTATATTTTCAGCAAACAAACAAAAAAAAAAAATTGGTCTCAAGGGGTAATTTCAGCCGGAGACAAACACCAATGCATGGAAAATTCCACCAAAAAGGTTAAAGTCTCTTCAAAACTCTAAGCAAAAGAAAGCACTGAGTTATGACAGAAAGCCTTAAGCGATTGTAATGAGACGTATTGCTACTGTGCTGCTTATAATATAGATGATATTTTAAAATGTTCTAAGAATATTTGAGAAAAAGACATTAGTCATACAGAGTAAGGAGGTTGCAGGATGAATTACTTAAGAATGAAGGGTGATATAACAAGGAATGTTGGTCTAATATTAGACTAGAACAGATTTTAATTAGAAGTCAAGAAAACATACACAGTGATGAGTCAACTGGACCGAGTACATCAACCATGGAAGTGGCTGAGGCATCAGAAAATTAGATATTTCATACCAGACTCTATATAGTAAGAGGGTACAAAAGGAAGAAGGCATCTCTACAACTTGTGTGAAAGAAAGAAGCATACGACGCTGGAAAGCTTTTCCAGCTCTTCTAAGATACTAACAATGCCTCCTAGGACCTTGATCTTGCCATGTTCTGAGCAAAGAGGCTCCAGTTCCAAAAGGCACTTCAACTCTGCAACTGTGAACACCCACATTGTCCCAGATTACTTCACTGCCATTGATCCTTATTTAAGCAGGCAAATGCTACATCAAGTAAAGGCCAGAGAGTTCAGTACCATTTGGAATTAAGGAGTAATAGACATAATTCATGAATCCTGTGTCATTCCAGTGTACAACCTGAATGAAACACACAGTACAGGAGCTCAGAGAGCTAGAAAAGGACAGAGGTCAGAAGATTTTTAAGAAAAACTTTCCAACAGTCCCTTAAGTAAAGGGTACATACAACAGTATGCTACGTCATTTGAGATTCTACATGGTCATACAGATCTAGTTTTCTCCTGCTGTGTTTACAGTTCAAAGAGCAATCTGCATCATTATACATACAGCAGCAAATCACCTGAAACACATGCTCACGTCCCTCACAGAATACAGATGAAGGTGTGTACATATTCCAGTGCTTGCAGCACTACGCTAGCAATCACTATTAGAAAGGCTCCTCTGTATTTCCTTCACATCTTCCTTCTGCCCTTATGCTACACAAAGCACAGACAGTTGAGAAAGGCCTCAAATTTACAAGTTCACAACTTTGAGAGCACTTCTAGTTGCTTCCTGCCTGACACTGTAGTTCTTGCTGTGCTTCTTTATGGTGCTGCTGAGGATGTAGAACATGTCATTTTTCCCTTTTAGCACTTCCTTAATCAGTTTGCTCAGCCACATAAGTATTTGGAGAAAATTAGCAATAAAAAATTGCGTTTTAGTTTTTAAAACAGATTGGTTTCTCAGTAAAACACAACTGACAAATAGGAACATTAAAATTTACTTATTTTCTCTGAATTCAGATTCATCTTTATATCAATTTTCCTATTTTAAGATAATATCATGATTGCACTAGTGCTATCTCCTTGAAGTCTTTA